CTGCATTATATTTTTTATTAACATGCAAATTTGCAGAGTGTTTTCGAAGACCTTTTAAATATCTATATGAATTTTGTTATGAACAAAAACTTTCCATGTTATTTTTAATATAAATCTGTTGCATACTTTCGAGCGCAACGTGAGCTAACATCAACGCCGCTAATAAAAGTGTAGCATACTTTTAGAGCGGCGCATAAATGTACAAATGAAAAAGAATGTTAGTTAACAGTGCTATATGTATGGAAGCTGTTGGAATGTATTACATACTTTTAGGTGTTTGTTTAACATTTTGTTTTCGTCGATCTTTTTTATGAAAGCTAACAAATTGCATTTACCGTAGCCTTTGCTTTGCTAAAGGGTTCTCACAAGACTGTTTAAATAATACAAACAAAGTAATTAACTATAAATAAACTCTTATTAAATCATATATGGATTTATTCACATGCAACACAATAAATTGTACCATATTAGCATAGTGGATAAGCCGCTTGTAAACTATGTCAAACTAAGCACCCGTTAGGTATATCGAGTGAAGACACAATACAACGTGAGGGGCTAACCCAATGTTAATGGCCCCCGCCAATCGAGACACTTGCTAGGTTGTATCAGAACTGTAAATAGTATGCGAACTACCCGTAGGGGAGCTAGAATCATCTCTCGACTCCCGCATTAGCTAAGGACATACAAAGGAACTGTACGATGCGAATGTTAAATTTTCCATATACTATGAGCACAATGCAATGTATCCTATAATTAGTAGTCTATACATATATGAATATATACATATATAACTAGAACTTGAACCCAACTATGCTGTACATAGATACATACATATATATAAATACACAATATAATATATAGCTAAGCGTTAAGATGATAGCATTCAGCGTAGCCAACATCTCGAGCCCTTCCCTTCTTGCCATAGGATATGCTTTAATAACAGTTCAAGTCGTTGTGATTTTTGTATGTATGTCTATAGATGGAATATCCCTAACTAAACGAAAAACCCTAAAGAGCTAAAGCCAACAAGTTGAAGTAATACAAGAAATTATGCAGAAGCACAATCATTGAACGAGTGAAACGAAAAAGCTATCGCAGCCAGACAACCCTATAAGTATATACATACATACATATTCATATACTCAAACTAAATCTATAAATAATACTTAGAGCTATTATATACATACATACATATGATTTCAGCTTGATTGATTCTAGTTTTTTGATTTCACGCTCTGATTTTGAATATTACATATCAATTGGAGATTTGGGCTTATAGGCCCGCCTTTATGTAATATAGCACACCTGGTTTCCGATACTATCAATATCAGTACAAAAGAAGGCAGAAAACGAATTAAACTATCATTGTAATCTGAAATACTTTTATCAACCTCTCCTGTACATATGACGAGTCAATAATAAATGTCAAAGCGAATTTGCTGTAGTTCTTCCAAAATAACAAGAGAAACCAAGAAAACTTAAATCTACAGTTAATCGATAACATATTAATCGATAACGTATTAAAAACATGAGTTCATCTAAATGAAAAACAATTTGTAAATAACTCTGTTCATTTGTTGATTTCCTTAGTTCGTATAAAAACTTTGACAGCATATCAGCGAGATCCTAAGTATACCGAAACTAACTTTTGTATAACTCGAAGAACTATTGTATGGAGGCTCTGTATTCTCTTTATCTTTTGACGAACACGCAAAAACGATTTAATCGAATTTATAATGTTAAACGCCAGTTAATCGTACATTAATATCAATTAAATTAAATTTAAACAAAAATGATGAATGATCTGAAGCTAATACTAAAAAATAGTTAGTTTATAAATTTTTTGTAAAACCCATTAACAATTAGTTCTTCTCTCTATAAGCAGATATGGATAATAATTAAAATCAAATTATGAATACAAAACAAAGTGCATTTAATAAGTAAAGGGAGGGTGTTAACAGCAGTCGACTAACCTGTTATACAAAATGCTGTCAATAACATGATGTAAAAGGCAGCTGCTCAAGGAAGGCAGCGCTGCTCGAGGCATAGCAGGCATAAGTGCGGAGCATATTTAATATGCGCGCGTGTGAGTGAGAAAAAGAAAGACTGTGAGTGAGTGAGTGAGGGAGGGAGTCAGCGAGCAGAAGTGCAGAAGTGTGAGTGAGAGCTGCAGTTAATGTGCTTATTTTAAAATTTAAATTGGCTTGCGCAATGCGCACTTGAGCTGGCAGAGCCCACAGAATTATAAGAGAGTTTGGGCAGCGGCAGGAAGAACTGTATATAAGAAGCCCCGCTCACATGTCAGCCTGCGTGCCTTAACTTGTGTGTGTGTGTGTGTGTGTGTATGTGCGCGCTCAAGTGCTGCTAGTTCTCGTTTTAATAGAAAGTTTGCATTGCGCTTCACCCACTCGGAGTTCTTGCTCTTCTTCTTCTTTCATTTTTGTTGCTGTTCCTTTTGCATAAAGCGCTCAGAGTGTAATTAACAGTTACTTGCAGAAAGAGAAATGTTTGCATTAAGATAAACAACTTAATTATTTTCCTTGGCTGTGCGTGCGAGTGTGTGATTGCATGTGAGTATGTGAGTATGTGTAGGTGTGTGTGTGTGTGGCTTCGCACTTTGCTGCGGTTGCCACAACGGGCCGAGGCTGCATTGGAGTAAGCGAGCGAGCTATATTTATGCACTTGAGCTAGTTACAGTCGCAGGCGAACTTAACTCCAGCAAGGCGAGGAGCTGTGTTAATGAAAGCATCAAAGCTAGTTGAGTAATTAAATACATGCATGCTTACTTTCGGCAAGTACCCACGTGTGTGTGTGTGTGTGTGTGCGTAGGTGTGCGTGTGTCATCAAGTGTGCCAATTAGTGAGCAGCTTTCAATTTCCTTACGACTGAGCGTAAATGAATATGAAAACAAAATAGCGAAATTATTTTACAGCAATTCGAACAGGTGCTGCCTATATACATATTCTTTTATTATATTTCACATATACATACACATAAAATCATATGGACTTAGTTTCAGCTGTGTGAATTAATTCATTTATAAATGAAATCGAAATTAATTTTATGAATTTTGTTGAAGCTAATTAAAGTTGTCAACACTTGGCAGAAAACTTAAATTTTAAATCGAAGCAAATTATGTGCTGCTTATATGCCAATCTAATTTAATTTAATTTAATATTAAACTAAATGCAAGTGAGGAATCATATACTAATTATTCTTCACTCGAATTCATGTTTAAAATTAAATACTACAAAAGTTTTTCCGAACTAAATTCAATGTTTGTCAATATCTTCCATACATTAGTAGCTTTACTAGCTGTACATATTTGTTTATGTTTTTCGCTTATCACAAAAATGAATAAAAATAAATAGAACTGACCTTGACAAGAATAGGGGCGGACATGAATTGGAATGTCAGATATGAAAAGCTGGTCAAACAGTTAAATTTAATTAGTTAAGCAAGCATTTTAGTGCGCTAAAGTCCTGCAGTGCTTAGCTTCAGCAGAAGTCGTCGCAATCTATTTGAAGTAATTAAATTTACGGACTTCTGTTTTATAGTTGCTTATCGCATGGCTTTGAAAGCGATAGTGAAGTGTCTGATAAATACATATCTACATCTGATTATTCGATTGTGATGGCAGCCGTAACAAAATCCCACCCTCCACATAACTGTGTGTTATCAGACCTAGTTCTGGGAACAGCTGAAAAGTTGAAACTTGATTAATTAAACATTTTCATACCAATTGTCATTTGTTACTTATTATTTATTGAATTTCCACGAAAATGCGATAACTATACGGAGAGCTAGCTGTTTGCCCGTTGATAATTTATCTGATTACCATTTGTGAATTTCATGCACATATTAAATCTGAATTTAAAACTAATTTCGTTTATCGCTGCACAAAAGTTTTCCCTTGCCTTAGCCCAGATTTACACATACATACATATGCATTTACCTATGTATATCTATGCAATTGTGCTCTACTCCACTTAAGGTTAATCAAAACTTTACGCTCCCAGCCCGCCCGTGTATGTGCTAGATGTGTAGTCGTATTTAGCTAGATTTTCGGGTAGAGCGCTTCTATTTATTAAAATTTTACACATGGCCCAATTAAATAATTAAGACATGCGAGACATGAAACACTTTTTGCCAACTTTTTTGGCACAACTGGCAATAGTTTTTAATTAAATAAGGGGCACTGGTGCTCGCACCTGAAACAAAGTTCAGGTGCTCTTCATGTGCTGCTGGGGGCGTGGCACTGGCTTCTGTAATGAGCAAAAATGTGTTCTCGAGTGCCAGAAAGTTTTCGTCTCGGGTGCCATTTAGCTGCCTATGTCCAAATAGCTGTAAATGTGTGTCAACTGTACCAGAAAGTTGTAAAGCACCCGTCTCTCTCTCTCTCTCTCACTCTCTTTCGCTCTTCTCATTCTCACATACAAACCCTAAATTCGGATCTTGTAACTCGTTTAAAATTAATGTGCCAGGCAGCTGTTCGACCTGCTTTTACAGCGTTCAACAAGACAAGATGGCGACAAGTTGCCGTTAAATGTTTACCGTTAGGCGAGCAGAAGCTTTACCTCCTGTTCAACACTGAACTAGAACTAATTTGATAAAGAGAGAGTTTCTCAGAAGTCGCCCAATCATCGGCTGTCTGCATGTGCAAGCATTTCAGCTGGAAGAACACTGTTATAAATTATGGAAAAGCTCCCTGGATTTTTGTTTATCGAGCAGACCACTTCAATTGGCAACAATCAATTCTCTGCGAGGCCGCAGCAAATGTAACTCGATTGCAGCTTTGGGTATTAAGCGATCAAGCGTGCCTCCATCACATGACACAATGTGCGCCGGACATTTCTCAACACTGCCGGTCAACTGTGTAGTGCTGTTGATCAACACTGTTTGAAGGTTTATCTTTATCAGAGCTATGATATCATATGATTAATTGGCTGGTAATTAGCGCGAATGATCAGCAGTTTGCAGTTGAGTTTGACTGCCGTATGTCAGAGGGTTCGGTAACAGAAGCCAGGCCACACGCAAAGCATTTGCAGAATGACTTCAATGGGCGACGAATGGCGCTTCGGGCTGCTCTCGGTCTTCCTCTTGCTGGGCCTGCTCTGTGGTCACACGGTTGAGGCAGCTGACGATGGCCCGACTGCCCAGGCCTGCAATGTGAGCACCAGCATGGCCCTCGATCTGCAGAAGGTAGGCGAACGTCAAATGATCTTTGATTAATCCGAGTGAATGCTGAATCTATTCAACTATTCGCGTGTAGTTCTCGGGAATCTGGTGGGAGATTGCGCGCCAGCCAAGTGGCTCAATGTTCTGCACGCAGATCAATATCACAGTACAGAACACGACGGAGGATAATGTGCTGATCGACACGACCTATTCGAATACGATTACTTATCCGTGGGTGAATCAGACCATGAATGCAACGTTGACCATAGCGAATGATACCCCGGCAGCTGACGGCTATAACTTTACCTACTGGAATCCGCCCCAGTATACGCCGTATACGGTCTGGAAGGTCTTGGATACGGACTATGACAGCTACGCTTTCATCTGTGGCTACACCAACTCCACGGACAACTCGACGGCCTTCGGCATGATCATCGCCCGGAATCGAACGCTGTCGACCACCTTCTTGGATAGACTCGAAAGCGAGAGTTCCAGTCGGTATGATAATTTCCTCAACGGCAGCATGATTCTAATCACACAAGACGGCACGTGAGTATCGTAATCGCTCATATCATATGCTCTATATACATATATGTACATTCTTTCCACAGTTGCGAGGGAAATGGTGCTGATCCCTCGACCGCCTTTACAGCATTCTATGCTATTTTTGCCTTGGTTATATATGCATTAACCAAATAGTGAAGAACAACTATTTATAAGTAGGAAATTTAAATGCTTTTGCAGTGTTGGTAAACACATAATAAATAAATTTCAATAGCATTTGTAAAATAAATATTGTATATTAATAAATAAATACAACAATTTTGCAAACGCTTTATATAATATTTTATTACCTACAATATATTACATCTAAAGTCAGTGTTGGTAAACATTTTCTGTTTTGATTACCTTGATGAATTTTTAAGTGAGCAATATAAGAATTCTCCTCCATTCTGGCAATTTTGTCAAATTTGAGATGATAAAAACCTTTAATAACATTTCTGGCGAAATACAATAAAGCCTTAGATTGTTTAGATATAAGCGGAAATATCGTAGCATATCAGTTTATATGTGTTTGCTCGTGGACTTTCAATTTTTTCTATATCTAATGTCTTTTACTCAGTTCTGTGACGATGTGCGCAATTTATCGTTGCTGTGCACTATCTATGGTCTCTAATTGTCAAGTACTATAAAAGCATTTATGACTCACGTAATGATATTTTTGATATGCCTCAAAACACTTTTCCATTGTCTTTAACGTGGGTAAAACAAAATACGATAAAATGATAATGATGATGTCTAAGAATTGTGCTCTCTTTATTTGAAATGCCTTAATATTAACAAGAGTAATGACCGTAGAGCATTGATAGCATGCATAATATTATGACATTGTTGATAACTCAAAGACCCATACAAATAAGCACAAGTTACGCCACTGCTAAGAGATGAAAGAGGTGAGTAATTTAGTCTTGAATTGAAATTGAATTGACGGATCTAGAACTTCATTTCATATACCTGCTCAATTGTTTAGTAAATAAACGAGATATCAGTTGATAACTTATTTTTTATTCTCTTCAATAAATACTAGAGCAAACTTATTTGTGATGAGCGCATGACAACGTTCGAACTTGTTTAGCTAAAAGAATTTTATTTCGTAGTCATGATATATATAATATACATACGATATATCTACTTTCTTTAAATATATTTTTAGCAGGTTTGCAGCATGTAAACAATGAATGTACCGCAGTAAAAAATTGCCCACAATTATCTGGCGAAAATTCTGTTGCTTCAAGTTTATCACGTACTCTGTTTATAGGGCAATGAGTAAGAGGAGCGAAATTAAATATATTGATATACATATACATATGTATATGTATATGTACAAATCATTTGCTGATATTCCCAAAGTGACAGTATTTAATTCAATACAATAAATAAATACATTAAAAGTTATCAACTCTGTACTTGATTTATATGCATTTATGATAATAAAATTATTCCATAAAGTTCAAAACATAAATAGACTAAAAATTTTCCCAGCAACTTCATTTTATATTAAATAACACATAAAAAATTACAAATATTTTTGTACTGTAATAACATCATAATAAATTAAATGTATACAACAATAATAATTTATAATGGAAAAAATATATTAATCTATAAAATGTAAGCTTAAATTGAGCAGAAATCTCTTTCAATTAGTTGATGATAAATAAACATGATATCATAATTGAAATATATAAACAACTTACAGATAGATAAACGAATGTTTTGGCAATAGATAATACTTGATGTATACCTATTCGATTTAATTGTATTTCCCGGGCATTACTCAATGCTGCTAATTTTAGAGGGCACATGTGGGAAATTAAAGGCTCAATTGTTTGATGATTGGGCAAATAATAGGGCGGGGAATTTTTAATAAAATGAAGGTAGACTCGGGTGCAGCGATTTTATATGTAAGATCTTAAGCCAATGCGCTTAGTCATTCAGCTTCAGCCCCGAATGGAGAACGATAAGAGACGTCAGTCAGAGTCGAAAGTAAGCTGCGCCGAAGACTCACTATCTGTGTGTGTATATGTTTCGGTGTGTGTGTGTATTGATAAGGCACAGCACATATATATTGTGCATATCTCTCTGAGTGGCATAACTATAAAAGCCACAATAGCAAAGGGCGCACCGACAGTAAAACGAGTCAACTCAATCGAACCAAACCGAACCTAACCGAAACGAGGTTATCGAACGCGTCGGTCAGGATATATAAATAAGTGCAGCGATAAGCCGGAATATAGCAAAGCGAATACCAAACAGAAATGATGTGGAAAGTTGTGATTGTGCTCGTTGCGGCCTTGGCCCTGGCCTCAGCCCAAAATCAGGTAACCGGACCGCAGACCTGCAGCGCAGCCGGAGTGCAGAGCTTGGACTGGAATAATACCGCAGTAAGTGTGGCGGATCTCTGTGCGAGTGGAATGAGTATTGCAGCGGCAGCTGCTCTTTGTTCTTCTTCTTGCCTCTTTAGCTGTTCGGCCGTTGGCTGGAAGTGGCACGCAATCCGCTGGGCGATGCGCCCGCCTGCTTGGAGTTCAACGTGGGTCTGCTGTGGGACAACACGACGCTGAGCATTAATGCCTCCCACTCGAGCTCCAGTGAGTCGCTCTACTCGAACATCGATGAGTCGGCCAAGGTGACGCTGACGCCCCAAGCCACGACAGGCTACAATGTTACCTTCTACCAGAACAACGCAGCCCAGCCGCCCGTGTTCATCAAGCTGCTGCAGCTCATCAACAACACCTACGTCACTGGCTGCGGCTATACCGATCCCAATAATGCCAATACCAGCTATGGCTTCATTCTGGCTATGGCGGGCATGTACAATGCCGAGGGCATCAAATTGGTCAACGACCAGGCCTTCCCATTGTACAGCAATTTCCAGAACAACTCATACGCAAACATCACACAAGCTGGGTAAGTTAGTTCACAATAGCAATAATATTTTAATGATGGTTTTCCATTTTAAATACATTTGTTATTAATTATTAGTGATCCATATTGAGTATCCCTTTAAGGGAAACAGACAGCGTAGTTCCCTGAGCTTCATTAAATTTATTTTGATTGATAGAGTTGCGTACTTCCAGAATATTCAGCATGATTTAAAGATAATTTCAAAATCGATATCACTAAAATACAAATCATATAGGCTCAAAGATGATTTCATTTATTCTCAATCAATGTCATTTAATGTTGGACTGTCCTTGAGCGTTTTGCAACACTATAGCTTGTCCTCTGCAATACTAGGCAGTTGACTCATTCCATTTATTTTAAAGTCTCAATGAAATATTAATTATTTTGTTAGTAGTGTTGCGAAACGCCATCCCCGTTCAGTGCTGTGTAACTCATCGATAAATTAAATTAAATAATACCTTTTCTATAAATCAACTCAATTTGTAATCTTTCTTCTTGCAGCTGCTTCAAAAGCTCGGCCACCCAGTCGCTGCCAATGATCTCTGGCATCCTGGCCGTGGCTCTGCTGCTGATTAGGGCGTACTAAAGAAAGGGAAAACCCCAATTGCTGAGCTCGTTAACTTGCTGGCTGGCTACGCTTGTGTATTGGTTTGACTTTTATTTAGTTTTTAGTGTTTATTTAAATTTGGAAATCGTGTCGTGACGCATCTAGGTAAAAAAATAAAAAATAAGACATGTAAAAAAAAGGAAAAAAAAAACCCCTAAAACGATCATGTGCTTCGGGCTTGTCTCTTTCATTGAACGAGTGTTGTTGCTGCTGCTGTTGTTGTTGTTTTTTAGCAATCGACGGTTTAATTTGTACGCGACAAGTACAAAGCACGCGAGATAAGATAACAAAAAGCGGGCGACAGCACAATGCAAAGATAAAATAAGATAGTCAAACAGGTCAACCACAACTAAAAGAGCCTCGAACAACAACAGCGACAACAACAACAACAACAACACGAGAATTCGCTAGTACACAAGTGCGTTGAAAATCAATCATACGCCCCGTACACGCACCTTTCAATTTAGCGAGCAAACCTTATCGGCAGACAATAAAACATTTCATAGCATTTCCCCTGAGTGATGCAACAAATCACTCAAATCATTGGATTTTTATTTGTATTGAATATAAAAGGTACAAATATTTATTTTTCTTTTTTATACGATGCCATTAATTAAAGCGCTTAGCCACGTCCCACACTCATTATCAATTGCTGGCATTATGTGGGCGCTGTGACTGAGAGCTGCTCGGTGGCCATATACTAACAAATATTGCCCTAATTCAAATGGGCATTTTAAATATATTACGCATTATCGAATTAAAGCGAATTACAATTAATTAATTAACAGAAATTATAAGGAGCTATAGAAAAATTTCAGAGTTGCTAACTAAATTTAGGTATGATCTTATTCGGCATATTAAATATAATTAAAGCGAAAAACGCATTAGATACGCTTGCAATGATGTAATATATACATATTATACTAGCTGAATTCTCTGAAGTAAACCGATTCATAGCCACGCGTTGCACTCCTCTGTAATAGCCCGTTTAATCGCTACACAAAAGGATTTGCTATCTATTGACATACAGTTTCCACAGTTTCTAAACAATGCAAAATGTATTAATTACTGGAAAATTGGCGCTGACCTTAATCTTAGCTTAATAATGGAGCAATTTGTTGGTGCAATGCTCTTATTGTTATTAGAAGTCAATTAAATTTATCGATTGGCGCCACAAGCTTACGCGTATCATTTCTGAATATGTCCATAATAAGCTTTAATGGTTGATTGCGCTTTAAGAATGAAATGTTTCCATATCTCAGATTGAAAGCAATGCAGTTCCTAATACCGCTAATGCACGTGGCATTGCAATTTGACACGAGCTGCATGCATAAATTGCACGAACGGATTAGGAAATATGGAAAACAAAATTACAGAAGATATATATAAGCTAATAGACACATATATTTATATATATATTGATAGCTCGATTTGCAGGATATAATAATTCAATATTCTTTATGACATCCTCCTGTTACATACAAGTTTATAAAACCAATATACCCTGGCTGCCCATTTGCAATGGGATATAAAAAGACCAAGCGAACTCGATTGATAAGCAAACAACTAGCACTTGGGGCACATCATTCACAGAGTTGTCTGGCAAATGGAATTGCGTGGTATCTGCGTGAACTTGAATGCCAAAGTGTGCGCATTTTATCGGGCCTCACCTGTCTGATAACGATAACAAAATAAACTGTCATGTCAGACGCAAAACTAGTCGGAAATCAGCGCGACAGCCGAGCAAACGGCAGACAAAGGCAATGGAGCTGGGGCAGGGAGGGACTTTGGACGAGTTAAGACCTACTTGAGTTGGCACTTTGTCAAATGTCGTAGGGTTGACAGCTCGCCTTAATGACAGATTCTCTTAGCTCCTAAAGGCATTTAATTGTGTTGCGAGTCGGACAATCCAAGGCAGCTGCTATGTTTACATTAGGCAAATACTTGAAATTGCTGGCCAGGATGTGAGCATATCCTTTGGATGCGCTCCATTTGCTAGCATCGTTCTCTCTCTCTTTCTCTCTCTCACACTTTTTATGCGCTTATCAATTTTCGCTTAGCTGAGGGTTAGCCAACTCTTGTTGCGGCTCTTCCTGATGCCTTGTTTGCTTATTTGCCTCGACTCAATCAACACTCAGTGGAGCGCCCATTCCCACACACTGAGCCATAAAAGCAAACGTGGCTCAGCTAAATCACGCAACACTTTCTTGCTGAGCATTTACACGCATTCAGCTGCTCGAGCAGGTCCTTGAGCTAGTCCTTGTGGCTGTTTCTGCTGCTGCTGCTGCTGGCATTGCCCACTTATTTTGTGTACGATTTCTTTTGTTGGCACTTGACCCGCGGCAAGCCACATCTACAGCAAATCAAACCCAAGCCCCAGACGTCGTCCCTTTGGCTTCGATCTGCTTCGTTGCGGTCCTTCGTTTGTTTACGTTTATTTGTTGATACAATTTGGTTACATTGTTTGCTTACAATCTCTCAATGTTGTTCTTGTTTTCTCAGTTCCGTTGTTGTTGTTGTTGTTGTTGTTGCTACTGCTGCTGCTGCTGCTCTCTGCACATTGAAATCAACTTTACAACGATTAAGTAGCTGCTAAAATCTTTGCCAGCCAAAGCCAATAATAACAGAAGAACTTCTTCAATCACAGCGAGGCTTCGAGCCTGAATGAAAACCGGGCCGCTCTTGAATTGAGCCACAATGTAAACATATTACCAGCCATACAAAAACAAACTCAAATCAAACAAAAAGCGAGTCCTTCACTTCTTGGGTCAGGCTAACACTTTAAAGTAGATAAAACAGATGTATAAAGATAAATACATATATCTAATCTGTTGCTCTTGAGTGGACTAAATTGAATATTTTTCTAAACAGACTCAGAGCCCGAAGATTTAAGATAACATGAAATTATTTTATACAAATTTCTTATATTCTGAAAATATTTTAAATATTATTTTTAAAAGAGCCAATTAGATAACTCTAATGATATCATCTAGTTATCTATTTAAATAAGTTGAACACTGATTAGTGGAATACCCGTTGGCATTGCAAACTACATAAATGACTTATCATAAATCATATAAACAAATTATTACGAATCTTCTCCCAAAGGGAGCTCTTCAATCATTCCATTGCATTGACATTTTCTTTAGCTGTTTCTGTGCCATAATTTGCTCATCTATATGAATATATGCAGATGTGAGTTCAGTAATCAGCAGCTACTTAGAGCCGAGTGCCTGCTCATCAGGCATAAATTATCCGACTGCAATGAATATTTATGGAGCTGGCAAAGTCATAGCAGTCAAGAGCGGCTATCTGCATCAGCATCTCAATATATATGTATGTATGTGTGTATACATATATCTCATGCATACTTAGATGAATACCGAGGTGAGTACCGCAAAACTGTTAATTGAATGTAAATGAGTCGAGCCTGAACGCATTCAATTACCGCACCTGTGGACATCAACAACTCGTCCACACATTCAATTTAACAAAATGCGTTTCGCCTCAGCCAGAGATCAAACTTTGGTTTTTGTGTACAGTTGGCAATGCTCCAATCTATGCAAATGCGCAGTCAAGTACTGCAATTTTCTTAGCACGATAGCTGTGCGTAGTTCAACATAAATTACCCACTTAAGCTAATACACACACAGAGAGAGAGAGAGAGAGAGAGAGAGAGAGAGAGAGAGAGAGAGAAATACAAACCGCCCATCCCCGCCCACACACATACACACACGTCTCTTATTAACAGTGGCTCAGTGTCGAGCCTAGAGCATAAAGTTCTCAACTTAAGACAAACATCGAGTGCTCAAGTGCAAGAATTTTGCAAGATTTCAATTTGTTTGATAACATCGCATAACACTCTGCCACTTTCCCTCTCTCTCACTCTCTTTCCCTCTCTCTCACTCTACGTAATCTTTACCTTATCTGAGCAACGAATTTCCATTGCAACAATGGAAACTTTTCCCATTTACACAACTAAAATAACTAAAATCGAATTGCTCAACTATTGAATTGATCTGGATAAGCACAAATTGTGGTGAATTAATGAATGAGCTAAATAGAACTAGGCAACTATAATAAAATTATAAAATTTTACATCTGAGCAAAAAGCTGTAAAAGTTCAGGAATAAAGTAAAATTCGATATCCCAGCATATTAAAAAAAAATTATATAAATTATATAAATAATGATATAAAAATATATAAATCAAATATTTTTCATAACTACATCAACTAACTATGTGAGTATAGTCTAGGTTTATTGACATGTATAAACAAATTAAAAATATATAAAAATAGATTTTACTAGGAAAAGCTACGAACTATATTCAAGGGTAATTGTCTACATTTTTATATTTTCAGCAAATACTTTTTTATGAACATGATTTTCTTCATACTTTCTGTTGGTGTCACTGTCAAGGCCCCTCGCCTGCCATGTTGACACTGAGATCTGCTGCTCTCCTGATTGGTCGAGTATTGGTTTTGCCTTTGACTGAAATGTCAACGACATGCGGTGTACACGGTCTGTCCATGCCCATGTCAATGTCTATGGCCTGCAGTGCCTCTGCCTGGGAAATTAATTAATAGCTTTGTCTGTCTGCGTGTGTGTGTGTGTGTGTGTGTGCGTGTGTGGGTCTGGGTGTTTATACGCATACATACAAGCATAATACCCAGCCCAGAGCATTACTGTGTATGTGTGTGTGTGTGTGTGGGTCTGCCTGCGTGCGTGTTTGCACCTTAAGCATTTTGGCTTTTGGTTTTCTAAGCACTTTGAGGATATTGTAGACATGGGCACGATTGCTATTAGCGCTGATTGGAGGGGCATCCTTGTTTGTCTGGCATTTGAGCAGCTTAGCCGGCTGCAAACCTTGTTGCGGTGACTGCCGATGAGCGACAGATAGATGATATAGTATAGTATCCCAGGGAAACAGTAATTATTGGCCAATGCTGAATTTCGGCAATCAATTATGAGATTCGGTATTAGATATAGTGAGGCATATTTATAATAAAATATTTAAAGAAGCTATTTATCAAGCTATTCGAATCGGAAACATCCCTTGGAAATAATAGCAAAAAATAAAGTAAGGTTGATATTTCACAACTCCCGCATGTAATATTGAGTCAAATTGATTTCATATAACTATTAAAAAAAAGTATATATATAAAAATTATGATGCATCTCAAACATTGGCATTTCAAATTAATATGAAAAACCTATTGGTCATGCAAAAATAATATTCATATTAAGTGAATAAATAATAGTTGTAGGTGCAGAGATTTTTAAGGGAAAAGGACACACTTTATACGAAAGAGTAAATAGCCCATGCATATATTAATAATATATTATACAATTTACATATCAAGCACAACTTTGACTTGTCAATGCAAACACGCGATTTACGCATTTCATTATGATTGCAATTAGCCGTCAAAGTTTACACGAGACGTGTCAAACTGTTTGGCAAGCGAACACATAAACACACACACACAAGCTCACACAGCTTTGTGGCCCAGAACAATTAAAACAATTAATTAAGTTCAAACCCAACTCGCAGCCCAAAAACGAAGCCCATTTCAAATGCCAATTACAATTGAAGCTAGACGATGGCAATGCAAATGCGTTAGCGGGAGCCGAAGGAGAATACAAGGAAAAGTATCTGGCGCAAAGTGCTCTAAATCCAATAGAAAGCTTTGCGCTCCATCTCTCTCACTCCCTCCCTCTCTCTCTCTCTCACTCTCTGTCTCTGTTGCTTACGTGTGCTGGCAGTGGCATTGGCATTATTCGTAACGAGCGACATGATCATAAAAATAAACGCAAATGCAAACACAATGATGGGTGCGAGTGGCTTAGTTTTTATTTTTACACCTGTTTACAAGCACACAGAGCGAAATTCGACTGTGCCAGCACGCACACAATTAAATTTCCGGTAGAACATTCGACTCCAGGTGTGTGCAAAGGTGTGTGGGTGGGTGTGCCCAGGGATCTCTCTGTGTGTATGTGTGTGTGTATGTGTGATGCGACCCAAAACACTTTGGTATCCGTGCCAACTTTTTTTTGCTGTGGATGGTTGAGTGAGAGGCCCTCGCATGTTTGAGCCATTAAAATTACGCCTAACAACACTCGTAAAAATTTTCGGCTCACGTGGCGTATGAGTATTTTCGGCTCTTTGCCGTGCGTTTCATTACAAATCCATGGCACGTTTGCCAGCAGCAACAGCAGCAACAGCAGCAGCAGCACGAGCAGTGGCTGGAATCGAACACACAGGCAAGGTACAATTTTCAATATTTGCCATATACACACACGACGTGGGCGTGGCAGGTGGCGGAAATAATGCGGTGTCTGTCAAAATTGGCAAAATCGTCGCTGCTTCGTTGCCCTTAACTAAAAATCAAAGGCGTCGCATTTGACTAGATCCCTTGCCCTGCCTCTCTCTCTCCCCCTCTCTCTCTCTCAGGCTTTGCCTGTGCGTTTGGGTGTGCTTATGGATAGGCGCTATGGGCGTGGCGTTTGTGTACGTGCACCATAATATTTTGTTTGTCTACACGGGGCGTATACGTAATATTTACTTGGCTTTTTATTACATGGGCAATTGCCAAACGCATCAATAATAAGCAGCAGAAACGAAAATCAAAGCAAAAACAAAATTAAAATAAAATTTCGTTTAATTTCGAATTCCATTTATTTTGCAATTTATTTTTATGATCGTGCCAGGTGTGGCTGCCGTGTAATGCGAGATAATAATTTAATTATAATGCGAATCTTAAGCCAACTCCCACGCTTCGTAACCCCAACGAACTACATACTTATTATGCTAATGGTAGTAAAAGTCCATTTAATTGGTCGCATTTGCTTAATCGATTCATGTATTTATTTATCACTCGCAAATTTGCTTCGGCTAATATCTATTGGTAGTAAAGGAAGCAGTTCTTGTGTAAAATAAACCATAGGGTGGGTATAAAAGTCTAAAGAGAGAAGCGGGTCCACTTGTTGAGCAATGCAGTTGGCACATCGATTACATTCTCACTATCGTAGGCGGGAGCAAACTTCTGGGGAAAACTGGTCTTCAGGCAGCGAAGGACGGTGCCGGTCAGATAATAGCGGGACAGCCAGTGGCATTCGCATGGCGTCATACATTTGGTACAATTGCCCTCCTTCATCCTATATCGGCATTTACCAGTGACCGACAGGCAGTGGAGATTCCACGGCAGGCACGTGTCCCTGGGTGTCCAAAGGCAATCGCATGGCGGTATACAATTCGGACAAATGCACTCCGTTCGGTGGTGCGGAGGGGCGTGGCTTTGATCCACGACTGCTTCTTTGGGACATAAGTACATGTTGAAGCGCGGCATGCCACCAATCAGCTCCTTGAACTTGCGTTCACGCTCCCTACGCAGCCACAGCTCGAGCAGATCCCAGTGATCCAAGTTCTTGGACCGTTCGCGAATGAGCTGCATGCGTAAATACAAGTCTGAGCGCCGGAATGCATCATAGTTGACGCCCGTCTGCGTGTGCCACAGCAAGTAGAGCTCGTTGGGCTTCTCGTCCGGCATAGAAATACTGTGTGAGAATTTGGTCAACTCAAAGTGAAACAGCATCCGGATGCCATAGGTAATGTGTTTGATGTGGTCGAAGTCCTTGATATTCATTGCCGATAGAGCGTCAGCATCCAGCAAGAGCAGTTTTCGACCCCAGATCAAGTTCACACGAAAGGTGCGCTAGAAGCAAAAGAAAATAAAAACAGAGGAATATTATATATCAATGTATTGACTAGTGTGGAAAACTCACCATATATTGGGGATAGCCATAGCGGCAAATCCAGAGTCGTATGGCCTTGTCGTCCCACTCATAGACGGACGTCAACGGCAGCTTATCGACAGCGCAAATAGATAGCTCCACGAGAGAAGCGGGCGTGGCACGAAAGTCAATGGGCCATTCGTCGTGATTGTACTTTGGGCGACGTGCGAGCAGATCATGGGTTCGGTATTTGACTGGTGGAACATCTGACGTTACTTCATGCCTCTTCTTTTTCTTTTTTGGCTTATATTTGATGTCGGTTATGCCATAGATATAGGACATGTTAAAGAAAGAATCACTCTTTCTATTGCTAAGTATAGGTATTGGTATATTTTTTGTCTTTATATGATGTGTGTATTTCCGATCAATTTGAACTTCGAGATCTCTAAATCATCGGCTACTAAACTAGGTCTGAGATGTGAGTCGAAGCTTCCCTAAACTTGTTCAAATTCTCTGTATTTCATATTCTCTGTATTTCAAGTATTTCATATGGACAGAGTAGAATTCTCAAAATATGCCATATAGATAATTCTTTCCTGAATTCAGCGTTCTTCGAAGTCAACTTTTATTGCATGCTTATCAGTGTCATAAGAATTTAGATAGACGCACAATGCATGACGCACTTATTGAGCGACTGAATCAGCTGACTAATCTCAGGCAATCGGCCAAAGAGAAGAACTGAAATGACAACAGTTCAATTATTAATTAAAGTCAATGGAAGCAGATTTTTAATTAATATTATCTGTGAGGGGAAAGGCAAAAGCTGAAATTCGAAAGAGCGAGAGCTTATGAAATATTTGCAATACACTGCAACAAAATATATTGGCTTAGATATGTTTTATTTTATATATATATATTAAAAATGTTTATGATAAACTAAATTGAATCAGGAATATTATAAAAGTCATGCTTAAAGATGTTTCATGGATTCTTCTTTTTATGGATTCTTAAAACTTGTTTTCCATTCTGATGTGAATTAAAGCTACTGAGATATGGAGATAACGGGCTTAGAAGTAAAAACTTTGAATTTTATTAATTCAAGCTAAAATAGCTGGCCATGTATATAAACACATGTATGTATATACATATATACTTATATATAGTTATATGTTTCGTCTGGTCATTGTCTGAGGTCAGGCTGAGAGCGGTTTGGCATCTACTCCGTGCCAACTCCTGTCTCCTGTCTGTCTATCCGTTTGTTTGTTTGTGGACTAATGGAGGACTGGCAGCAGCAGCTGGCAGGACATTAGCTCAAAGCGTGCAGCTTCCTCTTAAAAGTGTTATGCGAGTCAGGTGCGTTGTGAATTTTGCTGCAACAGTCATTATAATAATGCCACAACGAAGTGTGCCTGGAAATAATAATCAGGCAGACCATCAAGAGCAGTCCTCCTGCTCTCTCTCTCTCCCTGTCTCCCTCTCCCTCACGTTCGCTCTCTCTCTCTTTCTGTCTGCTCTTTTCCTGCTGATTGCTGATGGCTTGCACTGTTTCAGGTGGCGAGCACTTAAAATTTCATTTAAATATGGCTGTGGCACACACACACACACACATAAAGGCATCGTTAAATGTGCAATCGTGCGTCGTGGCAGTTGCAATAATCGGCTCAAATAATAACTTTAAGTGCATCATTTCGCAAACTTTTCCTCAAGCCCAGTTGTTCTGTGTGAAAAGTACGTGCGAAATTGTTGCAGCTTCTTGATTTGAAAAGTCATTTTCCGAATTGCATCGAAGAGGCTGATATAAAAATGGATTTGAACTTAACAAGCATGCCAATAATATTCATTATAATAAGTTTGATTGTAGCATTCCTACGCGGTCTTAACAGTTTTAACCTCTTTTGATTACAAGTATTTTATCTCATAACGAAGTCCAATAATATAAATATTATTATTAAATTATTATTATTAAAATTAGAATTAATTAAGATTAATCTACAAATATATCTTTGGTTGCATAATATTTTATGTTATCGATTTAAAGCCTTGCCACCAAATTTGCTCTCACACTAAAAACAGAAATAAATGGTAAAATTCTGTGAACAAAATAAACATGCATTACGCATACGCCTAGTAGTAAACAAAATAGAAACATTCTGATTACATTGGCGTCATAGTGAATCAATGCATAGCTGGGGGCTAATTCACATTCGATTTTAATTGATTTTGTGAAAATGTGCAACAATTTACGCAGAATGAAATTCACATATCATTTACATTTACATTTATATTTCGATGCGTATGTGCCCAGCAGCGGATTTCTAGCTTCATAAAATTATTGTTGTCGCTATGGCAATGCATTTAGAGGCTATTGTTGAACAGTTTTACATTTTTTATTGCAGCAACTAAAATATTGGGCGTGATTTTGATTTGATTGCATACTAATTTATAAATATCATGACACGCAATGCAAATGCAAATGAATATGAAAAAATGAAATGCAACTAATCCTTGTTGAGATTTTCAGATATTTTTATATATAAATATAGATATAGATAGCTCGAAATAGAGTGGGTTAACAAAATTATTCTTGTTTTTTTTTTATTTTTATTTTTTATTTTTTTAACTTAGCGAATTCTTTTTTAGTTTATTTATTTATGACTTGAAACATTTCAAGTATTCTCTCTTTACTTTACCATACTGAATAGGCAACTTCAGCCTGTCAAAAAATTGGCAAGCTTTTAATCCTAACTCACTTTTGTTTATATTCAAATTCTACACAATTCAATTTAAACTTCCCTTCGTATTCAATTGACATTTTCTAATGTAAGCTGAAAAAAAGAGAAATACAAATTGTTGCAAAAGATTAAACTTTTCATGTGAACATTGCAATTTGAAAGAAGCAAAGATGAAAACCCACAGAAAAATTAACAAAAATATATTCATGTCAATCAAAACTTTATAATTTTAATTTGCATTAAAATGAAGACAACAAAAATCTTTTGGCTTCCACAGCTGTTTATATAACATTTTCTTGGGATTAAAATTTTGAAGGTTTTTTGTTTCTTTTCTTTTACTTTTGACACTCAAACTTTTTTATGAAAGTCATTTGCATAACTGAATTTATAGACATGTAACAAAACGACTTGACATTAAATGGAAAAGCACGAAATATACGTATTAATCATACGCCATGTGTAGAAGCAATTAGATTTAAGTCATGCTTCCGTTGCGCCACACATGTGCAGAAAAGTTTGCACAAAATAATTGCAGCCTGCCGAGAAAAGTAATTTTTAATATGCCCAATAAATTATTTATAATTAATTCCAAATTAAGGAAAAATACCCTATGTAGCGAAATTTCAGTTAAGCTAAAATGTAAACAATAAACAAACTAAAAATATTAGTTATTTATCAGTAAGGTGAGAACTCAACAGTGGCGTCATGTAAAAGCCTTTGCCTATATCACATACTGTCTTATACATACCGTTCGCTATACGTCACATGGAAATGTTGACAGTTATTTGACAATTCACACATTGATTTGTATCTATTTGAATTATATACGCTCCAATTAGCGAGGTGAATGCCAAACACCGGCTATGGACTCTGATCTGGTACCAAAGTGTCAGGTTGAATCCAAAATTGAATCAAACAATTAAACGGAAAGCCTTTAGGCACGACTGGCTACGGGATCCGAGAGAAGTTTGCCTCTGTATTATCAGATAATAATATCCAAATCCGAAGAGCGAACAAATAACAAGCATCAGATCAGCTGACACGGAAGAGAGACTTTAAGAGATGATGCGAAACGAACAGCTGATTTCTGTTATGAGCGCATAAGCAACTAATATGTATATATGTAGCTTTGTCAGTATTAGTAAGTAAACAAGTCTCTGTGTATCTGCACCTATCATTTATATTCATTTGCATCTGTATATGTAGTTGTATCTGTAATAGCTATTGTAATTGTCAAGTGTAGATTCTTCTGTATCTGTATCTGTATCTGTATCTGTATCTGTATCTGTATCTGTATCTGT